CATGTTACAAAATATGAGACCAGTAACTGAGAGATTGCGCAATTAGAAAAGGAAAAGGGCCTGGGATGGGAGGCTGTTCTTTCCCTTGTTGTTCATAGGTGTTAGGGAAATTGCATAAATGGCGGTTTCGGGTGACCCGATCAACTGATCAGAAAGGGAAACTGCACTTCGCTGCCTATCGCGCTGCTCAAAATTTCCACTGCAAACTTTCTCCTTTGACGATTTAGGAGCGAGTCCGGAAAGGAAGATCGGATTCAATGCTATTAACCGAATTAGTGGGAAGAAGTGCAACCTATCAAAGGGACAAAGAAGAGAGTTAAGGGGAGAGCTCGAACGCAACGCAACGAACTATAGGATTTCCGACCTAAATTAAGAGCGGATTCTCCCTCTCTCGGAGCGTCAGATTCAGGGTTTCCTCTCGGGGAGCTTGGAAAGGTGGCAAGTGTGGTTAGAGCAGTTTAGAGCTTTTGCACTTTTTCGAGAGCGCTGAGCGTTCGTTCTTCAAATGGGCATCACCATGGAGTGCAGTGGCAGAAACGATTTCGGGACTACGCTTGGGATGGCGGCATTTGTGAGAATCGAGGAAGTCATCGACTGTAACGAGATACAAAACAAGAAAAAACCATTTTAGATATCAGCTATAGAGCAAATAAAAGGTCCAATAGCCGAGATTGAACAAGAGGAATCCCACGGGAAATATCGTCCGACATCGTTCGTCAATGCGCTGGGCAATCCGTCGACCACGAAGGTTGCGCAGTGCCCTTGTCCAGTGCAATGCTCGTCGTGATATGTCTACCGTCTGGAACAAAGAGCAGTATTACGTCGAGAGATCACGAAATGGAATTCGAGACTGCTTCTTCTATCGAAAAGTTTTTACAGAAGCCGTTTATTACATCTCTTCGCTCATGTTTGAGATTTGGAAAGCTGCCTTCACGACTGGCCGATCCCCGTGTGCCCCCACATTTGACAAAACTCACAAGGTCCTTCTAAAANCGTTTTCGTTTCAATCGTTCCGAACCGAAGGAATATCTACAAAAGAGTTGATTGCAATAGAAGAGTTCTATTAGTTAAACTCAATTTCAGTTGTGTGGGGAAATGACAGAACCAGACAGAGGCTTGGGTGAGTGTGGTAGTTTGGAATTATAGATTATCATAATATTTCTTTTATCATGGAAAATAGGGAACAGATCAGCATATCAGCTCGATTCCCTCTTTGACCTGATTTATTCGTGCCTATTGTTTGTAACGCAACTTCTTCTCAGTCAATTCGTATTGAAACACACTTCGAGTCCTCCTGACAAACTACATAACGCTATCAACCTTTTCAACTGTTACCACCAACCTGGATTCGTTAGTGTTCACGTTTGCCGAAAACGATCGCAGCCGGGGCTCTGATCTTTCCGGGCTCAGCAAATTGAGAGCTGTGTGGTTTTCCTGAGAGGAGATTCCAACGTCTTCATCGTTCTGGAAAATGAAAATGAAGCTGGCTCAGGCAGATACATTGGCCCATTGGAAATTGACTAAACTGTCTCTCCCCCATCACTCGAGAACTCTGCTTCCATAATGAAGCGCCCGCGCAGTTCGCATAGGACATTATAAAGTGGACTAGTATGCCTTAGTTGCAAGGTTGCAACAACGAACATTCAGGCTTAGGAGAAACACTCACCAGGTCGTCGATATCCCTGGAGGCACCAAAAAGTGTAGACAAAGCAGTGTCAACGATTAGCGACGGCTGCGGCTCACATCGTAGCAACTCCCGGTTCTTTGCAAAATGGCAGATTGTAAATTCGATCATAACACCAAAGACGAAGGCCTGAATGGGAACGTCGCCAGTCATCGCCAAGGTCGGCCATCCATTAAATCCTTCTAGAGTTCATCCACAATAATACAGTCATCAGATCGAAACAAGGCACTACACTAAGTAAAGGGACGTTGTAAATGAGTTATGTGAAGGGTGAAGTTGTATAAAGAATGTGTAGAAGTAGGATTTAGGAAGATCAAGAGGAGAAATGTGTTACGCACCATACATGATCCCATCCAAACGTCGATCGCTTTCATGTATGACACTGAAAGATAGGAAGTAAGGAAAGGGCTCACGAAATTTGGTTTAACACCTAAAGGTAAGTTCAACGATTGTGTCTCTCTATATACGATATAGGATGGCCTGGCTTAGTACCAAGTGTAGCGCTACCACACGTATGGTCAGAAATCGGGAAAAGAGCCGGTGCTCGTCTAGGGTCACAAAGGCTTTTGATCGTCTGGGGCAAGATTAAGTGGCACCAGGTTCGTCTGGTAGCTTAAAAGCAATATGGACCCAATATGTGTTCATCCTATACGATTCTAGGAAGGAGTGTAGTAGAGGGCAGAAAAATAATCCGAAACGGGACCGATCAGAGAGGCTTATCCACAAATTTTCAAAAAAAGGCTGAAGTTGTCTTGCACAGTGATCATGTTTTGGCATTTCAGTGTGATGCGACCCAGCCCATTTCCGGTTGAGCATCTTTTCAGCAGAAAGAGAGTTGATGGTTGGCAGACGTTGTTGAGACTTTTCCATTGATGCGTACCTTCTGGCAGAGCTAACTTGACCGCATTTGCCTGTGTTGATATTGTCAGTAAAGTTGTGATGCTCAGTGAAACACGTGCCGGAGCCGAATCGACGTCAAGCCAGAAATTGAACCTGAATGGGCGCTTTCACATTACCGAGCAGTACAGGTAAACGATGAAGTGTGCAATTATAAANTGTTCCTTACCAGGAAATGACTACTATCAAAGCGGTTGGTAGGTACGTTTGCATGACATGGTGCATCACTTCACGCTCTACGTAGAACACCGCTGTCATGCAGCTCCAAACACCTTAAATCGAACGATTTCATTGCGACTCTATAGGTAAATCCTATATTCAGCTATATCACATAGAGAGTCTGTAGTTTCAGCGACAAAGGTGTCGATATTCTATCAAGTTGTAGAAAGGGTGGACCTGTTGCATAGGTGCCATTGCAGTAACCCGTACGAATGTCCTTCAGCTGCATGTCAGGCATAGTGATTTCAGGATTTCGATCCACTGGCAAAAAATCGTCCTTGATAGACCATACGAGGCGCAGTACGCTTTCAGGGTATGCGTCTGAACTAGTTCAAATAAATATTGTTACCCAATAACTACTGCTTGAGCTCAGCTCAATCATTCTACTACTTAGAGGTCAATGCTTGGAATAAAGCGGGCAAAGGGCCTATCAGGGAGGGAACTTGGGATAAACAGAGCACTAAACGGAGCAGTTAATGCTTCCTTCACAGGACCTACGGACGCAGACACGTTTCTGTGACCGAGCAACCTGAGTAGATATCCGAAAGCTTTGATGGTTCGCATTGATATACTGATAATATCATCATTGAAAGAAATCGTTACCCATAGCCTCTTTTATGCTCACGTATATGAACCATTGATCAGGATTCCCAAAGCATGACTTCTCATCGAGTCGCAAAGGTCGATATGTGGTGACCGTAATCTGTTAGTAAAGAATAGCCAAATTCTGTTGCTCTTATGTGGGACTAATATGACCAGTCCCAGTAACAGCTATTTCTACCTTTTGTCAACCTACGCTGCCATTCCGCCTTATCGCATGAAATCGAGAAGATAAGTGCAAAAATAAGTGCTGTAAGGGTCAAAATTTGACTTATTCCTTCTATAAGGTGACGATTAAACTGTCCAAGGAAGAAGGATCCGTAGAGAGCATATGTATATGGAGGTTGTATACTCCCGACCACTCGCTTAATGATCTTTCTATTGAACAAAGTCGTGTTCATCGCGTTGCCTTTAAAAGGAAATACTCACAGGACAAGACCCGAAGAGGGCATTGCTGTGAGTCGAGAGGATACTTCCACAAATCCATATTGCATGAAACCACCTGCAAATTCACTTTGGTTATGAGAAGAGCGGAAAGTAAAAATCCATAAATGTGGCTGAAATAGGAAATAAATGGAAACGAAAACTGAGGAGAGCATACGATTGAGATTCTTGTATCGTACCATACCCGTCCATCTGGGTAGACCCAAACGAGAAAGTTGTCGTCCGTGACCACCTGAAATACGCCTAGGCAAAGTTGCACAGGGACTATGGATCTTATGATCTCCAATAGCACTCCATTTTTTATCGGAGTAGAAAAGAATAATTTAAATTGTTGAGCCACTCCAACAAGCTCACGGCTGTCATTGTCTTATATGAAAGATTTGTGAGTAGGCATGATACCTTGTACGATTAGCCGATGGAGCGGCTTTTTCTGAACAGCCATCCCCTCTCAGAGAGCCCAAACTAGCCCAATACTCACTTGAAATGAAGCTGATTTGGCATTAGCAAAGTACACGTCCGGGTGCCACATCTCCCGAAACACTTTTTTGTCCTTCACCAATATCGGCGCAGTATGGTTGTGCTCCAATCGGAGGTCATACCACTCCTGAAATCGGCCGTGCACGAAGATGGGCGTTACATATATTGAATGGACTACTGACCTGTTGAAAGTACATGTCCAAGTGGTAGTCCATAGTTTGAGCGCTGAACGAGGACATTCCCTCGATGAACATCGACAGCGAGACATTCGTCGGAATTCCTAAGTTCAATAGTTGATTGAAGTGATCTATGATAACATTCATATGTACAAAAAAATCCATGCCATTTGTTGCCATATATGGAATGCAATGGGGCTACCTTAGGGGGAAGTGTGATTTCTGAGAACTACTCTTAAAATTGCAGGAAGTGTTACTTTCCTGCACTGTGAAGTCCATAGCGCCATTCCCATAGCGAGGGGATATACGGGAAGAAAAACTTTTTTAGGAGCTCCAAACAGTTTACTAAGTTCTGTTCTGGCCCTTGTTAAATGGAGTTGTTCTGTTCCATTGGAGAAAGGGCTTTGTAATCCTCCTACCCCCTCCTCTTCCTCCTTCTTCCATTTTTGACATTCATGCTCCCGACACGGAAAACCCTCCTTATCATCGTTTTTCTTCGGCAAGCGGGACTATCTTTTCAATGTTAGATAGTGTTAACCTTTCTAGCCGACTCTGCAGAGTTCCGGCGAACTGCTCAACTTTTTCTTTGACGAGCTCATTTAGCTTTAAATATTCGATTATTAAATAAGCGCACAAATCACATCAGACCATCAGACGCTACCAAAATGGATTATTGGGGATACGCTCAACTGAGTCCCTCCTCACCATCAATTCTCTGGTCTCCCATAGGAGCATGGCAGTTCCAGTTATGACATCATGCGGTAGGAAGCTGTGACGGTGCCGAACACGTAGAGAAACGAATTCGGTGTCGGTTATAGCCTTTGAATTGGTTAGTTTCAAACTCCCAATCGTCTCCCAATGTAAATGCCCGTAATGAAATGCGTATAATTGGGCATTTAGGATTGTCACTTCGAAAACATAAAGACGGACATTTAAAATGACAGCAAACATCGGCAAGTAGCTGCCTTATAAGAACCAAATGCCTACGACCAGGTCATGGCGCAATCCTTAATGTTAGGCAGAGTGAATCAGTGCAAAAGCCGTGGCAAAGGAAAAACGAAAAGCGGAACACTGGAAATCTTTTACCTGCTCCGTGTCTTTGAATGTAGTCTAAAAATGTAAACTTCAGCAATTGTCTCCAAAGTGAATAACATATTTAGACATTGCAAATTCAAAATTGTGAAAGGCCCCAGATCGAGACCCGATCGGGCCCTGTTTGGACTCTGTTCCGGGTTTGTACCTGATCAGGGCGAAGCTCTCGCGTCAGGCGGAAGCGCGCTGTGGAGTGGTGATTCGAACTTCCAGTGGAAGATTACGGTAACTGCTGCGAAATGACTACCACTGGAAACTCGGCCAAAAACGGTCACCCAGGGAGAAGTGCTCTATCGTGCCCTTTGTGACGCGCCCACTATGAAGCGAAAAAATGGTTATTACTGAATCATAGTGCCTATGTAAATGCTTAAAAGGATTACGACTTGTCCGATCTGGCAACGATAAGGTTGTTGTAGATGTTTTTCCATCACCTGCCTTGCATGCGAATTCTTTCAAACTGGGATCATGTAGTGGGCTGTACCCCGTGTGTTGTCTTATTTTAATTTTTTTTTTGAATTTTTTGAGTCCCAAAATTGCCTCATGAACCAGTGTAAGACCTGCTCTATGAAGTTGGGTGATTTTCTTCTACACTCTTTAGTATATAACTTGGAACTCAAGCCTCCCAGATTGGAACTGGGGAGAGGTTAGCTAAGTCGGTATCCAAGAAGGACGCACTCCCAGCTCTGGGCTCTTCCAAACAGCACCCAACAAGGTCATCCACCTAGTCTTAATGTTTTCCAACCCCATTTCGGGCCAGTTTGTCGAAATGCCAATTTTTTCCAGCCAGAATTGTCACTTGAATTCCAATTTCTGATTACTGCATTAATCATTCAAAAACGCCCTTTTTCGTTCTTCTTTTTTTTGTTCCAGTCAATCTTATGCATTGCTTATACCTCAAAATTAATTTTTCATTGAAAATGGGGCGGGGCCCAGTTTTTTTTTGTGTGAGCCGAGCGCAATTCGAGTCAAAATGCCCTCTTAAATTGGACCATGTGGGAAATGAACCGAGTCACTCGAGCACACAGGACGTGAGCAGAACTCAGCTCATGGTGGAAATGGGAAGGGGGAGCAAGATGTGTATCGGTAAAGATGCTTGGCTGAACTACACCTTACTATACTGCAACTTTGTCCAGAGCATCGAAGAAAAACACAAATGCAATTTCCCCTGATTGATGACTACTCTAGCTGAATCTTCTAGATGTTTTCAATTAATTGAAAATCTTACCGTCGTACTGGGTGGGTGTTGCGTAGCGATTGTAGAGGGTTTCGTTGCGCAGACGATCCAGAAACTCCCTAGTGAGAGGTACGAAGGTAACGTCTTCGGCTCGTACTGTCCACCACATCAACAGATGCAACAACAACCCCATCAGCACATCCCAGCTGAAAAGGAAATCCTTGTTTCTCAATAGTAGGGTAGTCGCTCGTTTTCATTGAAACTCGAAGGCAACACGCATCTCAACGACCGTGACCGGCCCGAAGGTCATGGAGCATATGACGGAATATATGATGGAAGTACGTGAGTCGAAGCATTGTGAAGAGAGAGGTTAATGAAGGAAATGGAAAACAAACGAATTCATGAGGGCAGGGGGCAAATTGTGAGTGAAAATTGAATACCACTTGAACTCTGCCTACTCCTCTCAGGGTCCTACTAACGATTGTTTAAAAGAAGATCTGCGCGATAGCGACGTCAGGCGATAGTTTTTGGTCCACTGGATAGCCTGAAGCCTCGATGATAAATTTCGAAGTTATTATGCTTTCTAAAACAAGATGGATTCATTTCCTCGATGGCGATGGCGCTAGGCTTGCATTTGCAGAACCTGAGTTTGCTCTCAAGACCAGGTCGTTAGGATGAGCGGGCACTAGTAACATAGGAAAGGTTAAAAAATGTGCTCACCTCGAAAGAACGACAAGTGTCGAAAAAGGGCTGGGGCCATTATCGGCTCCCAAACTACTATTATCGGGCTTTATTATGTGCGTAGTTATGCGCATGTGTGAATATTCCGAACAATGCATTTTTTTCTTTGTAAAGCACACGTTCGAGCCCACCTTTTTCTCGAGAATGAAGGGCGCAACGGAAGCAGGTGCTTTCAAATGGCAGGCAGTTCTGTCTCAGATTCGCGTTTCGATGAAAACCCAACGACCAGAGCAATTATTCGCGTTCTATGAGCACCGAAGAGGTGGGCAGGCTCGTTCACACCTGAAGTGGCTGAAGTCCTGTTTGATGACATCCCATGGAATCACGAGAGATCTCTCAGAATTGGAAAGGGTAACGCCAGACTCGCTGAGGTTTCATTGAATTTGTGCAATTTCGGAAAGGGCAATTGGAGGGCAATGCATTGTTTGGTCTTATTCAGAAACGTATTCAGAGAAAGTAATAGATGGTCACGTGGAACAAGGTGGTTGTAGGGGAGCGAGCTCCAAATCGTCGTTGTTGATGAAACGAATAATGGGAGAAGCCGAACAAGTGATGGATGACGTTTTTTTGCTCCAGAACATGGGCCCTCACCAAAGCTCGTCTTCGTGCGTGGGCAAGAGAAGAAGAAGATGAAGGAGAGCACAGCTGATAGAATTTCTAGGCAGGACTTGTGGTCATGATAAGAACCGTGCAATTTCCTCCTATTGAGAAGAAACCTCCCACTCTGTCTCTACAATTAAATTGAAGGCAATCGGAGGGAAGGATCCACTAGTAGATAGTATCATATGCTCAGTAGGCTTTCGACGACATAAAAGTTTCAATCAAGTTCCTAATCTGGATTAGATAATCAATTTTTGGAACACCTTCCACTATGTTTTCATCAGCCTTTCAACTTCTAGATAGTATTATTGGCTACTACATATTGTTAAAGGGAACAGGATGATCCGAGCCTGTTGAGCTAAAGCGCTAAAACCGAAGCTGAGTGCTTCTGACTCGATTTCGAAAGAATTTCAGAAATAGGAAAATATGATAAAACAATCATTCGGAAAGATGAAAAATTAATCTCATCCGTGGATACTGTTGGGTTATTGCGGTGAAGAGAAGATTGCAATGACATTCATAAGTGACCAAGGATGGTGAGATGACGAGCTGCGGGAAGGAGCAGCCATCTCGCCGCGCACTTGCATTTGAAGCACAGCGTGAGTGCTATCGGAGTTAGTGGGAAATCAGCTCGATTACGTCCAAAAAAACTCCGCTTAGGGGCGATTTCGTAGCCCCGAAAAGGTCTTGGTTGGTTGCACTTTCGCGCAAGCAAAACTTCCGGCATCTTGAACGGTAAATGGAGAAGCATATCCACGCAGCGAGCTGGAAAAAAGGAGTTTTTGCTATAGACCACGGTGCATGTTATCTGCTTGTGCTCATTTTGCAGATGTTCTCTGATGCAAATAAAAAGCAAGTATTTGCGCTAGGCTCCTACCTCAAGGGATGGTCCCCAGATCAATTCTCTAACTGAATTCCACCCAAACCTCATTTTACCATTGTAGCTTTCCCAACAGGAACAGTGACCAATACATCTGTTAGGTATATTAAACCACCCACGTACGGAAAGAACACGTGGAAGGGAGAGTTTTTTCAAGTGAAAAAAGAGCCAGATGGAAAGCATTCAGAACATCAAGAACATTCAAATGGACAGAACGCGCCATGCCCGTTAGACCCCGGCTGCTGCTGACTGGATTTCTGAAGCATCACCGAGGAGTAGGCCGGGAGTTGACAATAGTACAGGCGTTCATTTGAATTCATTAACTCAAGCCAGACACGAATGGAACCGTCAATTGAGCCATACTCTGAAAAACTTAAGTCTGAGGGGGCGACAGGTGATAGAAATATTGCGTGGTCAGAAATCTCGCAGTTTTTCAGGAGGTAGCAGAATTTTGAGGGAAGACGGCTAGAAAATCATTTTTAGGCTTATAGAGATGTCGCTGATCGATTCTGACAAGGAAAAAAGGCTGCTATATTCGGAATATGGAATGCCCTTCCATTCCTCGGAGAGGATTCCACTTCTGCTCAGAANTGGGATTTACAACATCGAAATTGTTCGTCAAAGAACAGATCACTTGCCAGCTCAATATGAAATCTACACAACAGCAAGTGAGCAAGAGTTTGCTGGGTAGGCCGTAGGAAGATGGACCCTTGTGAGGTTCCACCTGTTCTCGTAACTCACGGTGAACGGAACCAGTAAGTGTAGGCCCTAGTCTACACTTACTGGTTCTGTTCACAACTTCGAGAGTAGAGTGGAGGAATCAGATCACCTCAAGGAAATCAAACGGGAACAAGAATCAAAAGAGTCAAATGATACAACGTCAATAGCCTCGGTGGGGGTGTTCTCGAAGTCATTGCAGTGGTTGTTAGTGCAAAAATATTACTGGCAATGAAGCTGTGCCATAGGGAGGCTTGCTGAATAGAGTTCTTAATAGCGTCCCACACAGACAAGAGGCTAATCGAGAATTCCAAGGATTTCCATTGAACAGCTGCCTACTTGTTAAGGTCTTTCTCAGTAAGAGCTGGTTTCAGGAGGATGTTTGAAAAACGCGAAACAAATGGGATCATTTCAGAACAAACGCCGTGTAGTCTTTCCCCAAATCGATTTCTTTGCCAACGTAGGTGATTAAGGACTGTGAAGAGAAAGAATTTGATTTCTAATGGTATCTCATGGTCATGAAGCTTTTTTTTGTTCTATCGAGGGATATTGATTTAAATCTCCTTCAAATAAACCCGAACCTTCGATATTGCTCAATATTGTGCTAAAAAGTAGAGGTGCTGAACATGGCTGTCCTATCTGAGAAATCCCCCTCTCTGTGGTTTGCCATATTGAGTACGACGAAGGTTTTTCGTAGTAGAAGAGATAACAATGTGCCATAGAAATAAGTACCATTATGAATATAAAGAGCTTTGTACTCTGTGAAAAAGGGCGAATTTTTTGGGAGGGCGCTTTATATTCTCGTAGCAAGGGGCCTGCATCCTTTCAACTACTACAGATGCAGACTATTCCTAGAAGGACACCCGTTCATTCAGTGCCAGCAGAGAAGAGGAGAGTAGGCAGAGGAAGTAGTGAAGCCAACAGGAATGGTTTCTAAAGCTGCACTTGAGGTAGACAGTTCCGTCTCATGATTAAATGAAGCCTGGCATCAACCCCTGAGCAAGTTCTAAGCGGAATATGGTCAAAGACGATGGAAAATAGTAGTATTGAGAAGTCCATGTGTTTCTGATTTCCCACGATGTAAAGTCAGCTGGATTGTGATAATGTGATAATAATAGAGACAAAACTGATCACACGACAACTAGGTACAGGAGAAAAGCGTACATGTATGAAATAAGGGCGGTTACACCTACTTCAAGTGGCCTATACCGTAGGAGGCAACAGAGGAGGCAATCAATAGACGTATCGAATTCGAAAGAAACACTGAAATTAATTCAAATATTGGATTTGCACTTCTCTGAGAACCTTTCAAACCAAACGGCTAGTTATTCAAGGAGTTTGTGGAAGAAGAAGCAGATATCAAGCAGTAGCCATGTAGGAGCGCCTGGGAGGCAAAATGCCCAGATCTCAGATCACACGCTGGGTCCAGCAAAAGCGCGGCACTTTATTTCGTAGTGTAAACATTTTGTCAGTTGATGTCCTCGAGTCGATCTCGGGGAAGAGAAATGAGAAGAGTGATTAATTGGAAATGAAAAGCCCGACAATTTGGGCGCTAACCGGCAATTATTGCATGTGAGTGGCCGGTCGTTGCCTCTTAAGAGTGATTCATAGCTTTGTGTGTGTGTGAGAGAAGTGTAAAATACAGAGTTTTCCGAGCTCTCCAAGTGTTCTGCTAGTTTTTTACCAAAGCAAATGAGACAGGAGAGTTGCTGTTGTCTGGGAAAAAGTTGCACTACATGACGGACTTTTTGTCCCATGAACTTTGAGCGGAACGTTGGAGATCTGTCCTCTGACAAGAGAATATTTTTAGCATACGTATTGCTTTCAGTAGATTAAAGAGGTCAAATAGTCTTTATGCCAAATGATTACCACAATTCCAAGGCTATTCTCTTCCTGAATGTTCCACTAATACTCATTAACTATCGAAGATTCGCGAGATTCACTTTTAAGCACGATCAGTTCCTGATTAAAGCTACTCGATTAGAGTTCTGAGTACGGAATGAATCCCCTCTATAACAGAAAGCCTAAGTTTCGTACAGTCATAGGAAAGTCGAAACTTTCGATTGAAGTCACAGTCAGTCATCACTCCTTTCCGATAACTTGTCATTCCCGGGGTTTCCTAAGAGGATGAGCACAGGAGGTGGGTCTGATCGTAGGAACAAACTGGGTGAAACGACTTCAACATGAGAGGAAATGTGTTCATAACGAATAGCGGACCCTTGACCGTGAGGTTCAACTTACGCATTTCGATGGGAGAATCTCACAAGC